TGCTTGCAGCATCTTGGCAGGGATGAAGCAGAGCTTTACAGACAAGTGGCTTTGTGAGGCTGCAATCTCCACCAGGGATCCATTTCACTGTAATTAAAAATGTGAGCAGAGCCCTGAGCGAACCACAAATCAATGTTGCTATTAAACACCAGCATCTAGGTCATCCCAGCCACTGAATATTGACCTAACTAATCTCTCACAAACTCTGGAACAATGTTCATTCATCTCCTCCTTCCCTTCGCCATGATTCGCTTTCATAATTGGCTAAGGTTTTTTTCCCCGGTCCATTCTGAAAAGCCATGAAGGAATTCATTTTCTGCAGTGGTTTCAGTCAATAGGAGTGACAGTGGGAGTTAGTCTGTGAGGTTGCTGGCTCTCTTCGTTAATGGGAACGTAAGGCACTCTGGACAGGAGATATGAGGAATTCAACTGTACTGCTGTACATTTATATTGTGCCACTGTATTAAGAAATGCTGTTTCCCCTTCCACTGGGCCATAAAACCATTCAAAATAAATCAAATTGTATTGGTTGCAAACACATACACTATATTTACAAAAGTATGTGGACAACCCTTCAAATTAGTGGATTCGGCTATTTCAACCACACCCGTTGCTGACAGGTGTATAAAACCGAGCACACAGCCATGCAATCTCCATAGACAAACATTGGCAGTAGAATAGCCTTACTGAAGAGCTCAATGACTTTCAACTTGGCACCGTCATAGGATGCCTCCTTTGCAACAAGTCAGTTCATCAAATTTCTGCCCTGCTAGAGCTGCCCCGGTCAACTGTAAGTGCTGTTATTGTAAAGTGGAAACGTCTAGGAGCAGCAACGGCTCAGCTGCGAAGTGGAAGGCCACACAAGCTCACAGAACGGGACCGCCGAGTGCTGAAGCACGTAGCGCGTAAAAATGGTCTGTCCTCGGTTGTAACACTCAATACCGAGTTCCAAACTGCCTATGGAGGCAACGTCAGCACAAGAACTCTTCGTCGGGAGCTTCATGAAATGGGTTTCCATGGCCGAGCAGCCGCAACACAAGCCTAAGATCACCATGCGCAATGCCAAGCGTCGGCTGGAGTGGTGTAAAGCTCGCTGCCATTGGACTCTGGAGCAGTGGAAACGTGTTCTCTGGAGTGATGAATCACGCTTCACCATCTGGCAGTCTGACGGACAAATCTCTGTTTGGCGGATGCCAGTAGAACGCTACCTGCTCCAATCCGTAGCGCCAACTGTAAAGTTTGTTGGAGGAAGAATAATGGTCTGGGGCTGTTTTTCACGGTTTGGGCTAGGCCCCTTAGTTCCAGTGAAGGGAAATCTTAATGCTCACGATTCTGCCAAACTGAGCAATTGGGGGGAGAAGGGCCTTGGTCAGGGAGGTGACCAAGAACCCGATGGTCACTTTGACAGAGCTTTAGAGTTCCTCTGTGGATGCTGTGAGGATGTTTTTCAGCGGTAGGCACTGGGAGACTAATCAGGATCGAGGGAAAGATGAACGGAGCAGAGTACAGAGAGATCCTTGATGAAAACCTGCTCCAGAGCGCTCAGGACCTCAGACTGGGGTGAAGGTTCATCTTCTAACAGGACAATGACCCTAAGCACACAGCCAAGACAACGCAGGAGTCTCTGAATGTCCTTGAGTGGCCCAGCCAGACTCCAGACTTGAACCTGATCAAACATCTCTGGAGAGACCTGAAAATAGCTGTGTAGCGAAGCTCCCCATCCAACCTGACAGAGCTTGAGAGGATCTGCAGAGAAGAATGGGAGAAACTCCCCAAATACAGGTGTGCCAAGAAGACTCGAGGCTGTAATCTCTGCCAAAGGTGCTTCAACAAAGTACTGAGTAAAGGGTCTGAATACTTATGTAAATTTGATATTTCAGTTTATGGATTTCACATGACTGGGCAGGGGCGCAGCCATGGGTGGAGCCAAGGCTACCCACTGGCAAGCCAGGCCCAGTCAATCAGAATGGCTTATGGTAGTGGAATTAACATTCAATTATCTGGCAAAAGCTCTGGTGGACATTCCTGCAGTCAGCATGCAAATTGCACGCTCCCTCAAAACTTGAGACATCTGTGGCATTGTGTTGTGTGACAAAACTGCACATTTTAGAGTGGCCTTTTATTGTCCCCAACACAAGGTGCACCTGTGTAATGAGCATGCTGTTTAATCAGCTTCTTGATATGCCACACCTGTCAGGTGGATGGATTATCTTGGCAAAGGAGAAATGCTCACTAACCGGGATGTAAACAAATTTGTTCACAACATTTGAGAGAAATAAGCTTTTTGTGCGTATGGAACATTTCTGGGATATTTTATTTCAGCTCATGAAACATGGTACCAACACTTTTCATGTTGCGTTTATATTTCTGTTCAGTGTAGTATATCTGTAGAATACGTAGGATAGAATGGTATATGTACAGCAATAGTTGAATAGGATAGGCCTTGACTAGAATACAGTATATACATACAGTTGAAGTCGGAAGTTTACATACACCTTAGCCAAATACATTTAAACTCAGTTTTTCACAATTCCTGACATTTAATTCATTCATTTTTCAACCACTCCACAAATTTCTTGTTAACAAACTATAGTTTTGGCAAGTCGGTTAGGACATCTACTTTGTGCATAACACAAGTAATTTTTCCAACAATTGTTTACAGACAGATTATTTCACTTATAATTCACTGTATCACAATTCCAATGGGTCAGAAGTTTACATACACTAAGTTGACTGTGCCTTTAAACAGCTTGGAAAATTCCAGAAAATGATGTCATGGCTTTAGAAGCTTCTGATAGGCTAATTGACATAATTTGAGTCAATTGGAGGTGTACTTGTGGATGTATTTCAAAGCCTACCTTCAAACTCAGTGCCTCTTTGCTTGACATCATGGGAAAATCAAAAGAAATCAGCCAAGACCTCAGAAAAAAAATTCAAGTCTGGTTCATCCTTGGGAGCAATTTCCAAACGCCTGAAGGTACCACGTTCATCTGTACAAACAATAGTACGCAAGTATAAACACCATGGGACCATGCAGCCGTCATACTGCTCAGGAAGGAGACGCGTTCTGTCTCATAGAGATGAACATACTTTGGTGCGAAAAGTGCAAATCAATCCCAGAACAACAGCAAAGGACCTTGTGAAGACGCTGGAGGAAACAGGTACAAAAGTATCTATATCCACAGTAAAACAAGTCCTATAATGACGTAACCTGAAAGGCCGCTTAGCAAGGAAGAAGGCACTGCTCCAAAACCGCCATAAAAAAGCCAGACTACGGTTTGCAACTTCACATGGGGACAAATATCAAACTTTTTGGAGAAATGTCCTCTAGTCTGATGAAACAAAAATATAACTTTTTGGCCATAATGACCATCGTTATGTTTGGAGGAAAAAGGGGGTTGCTTGCAAGCCGAAGAACACCATCCCAACCGTGAAGCAGGGGGGTGGCAGCATCATGCTGTGGGGGTGCTTTGCTGCAGGAGGGACTGGTGCACTTCACAAAATAGATGGCATATTGAGGAAGGAGAATTATGTGGATATATTGAAGCAACATCTCAAGACATCACCCAGGAAGTTAAAGTTTGGTCGCAAATGGGTCTTCCAAATGGACAATGACCCCAAGCATACTTCCGAAGTTGTGGCAAAATGGCTTAAGGACAACAAAGTCAAGGTATTGGAGTGGCCATCACAAAGCCCTGACCTCAATCCTATAGAAAATGTGTGGGCAGAACTGAAAAGGCGTATGTGAGCAAGGAGGCCTACAAACCTGACTCAGTTACACCAGGAGGAATGGGCCAAAATTCACCCAACTTATTGTGGGAAGCTTGTGGAAGGCTACCCGAAACGTTTGACCCAAGTTAAACCATTTAAAGGCAATGCTACCAAATACTAATTGAGTGTATGTAAACTTCTGACCCACTGGGAATGTGATGAAAGAAATAAAAGCTGAAATAAATAATTATCTCTACTATTATTCAGACATTTCACATTCTTAAATTAAAGTGGTGATCCTAACTGACCTAAAACAGGGAATTTTTACCAGGATTATATGTCAGGAATTGTGTAAAACTGAGTTTAAATGTATTTGGCTAAGGTGTATGTAAACTTCCGACTTCAACTGTATTTTTGCTTTGATATTACCTCTTTTTGCTTTGATATTATGGGGTATTGTGTGTAGATTGCTGAGGATTTTTATTTATTTAATCCATTTTAGAATAAGGTTGTAACGTAACATAATGTGGAAAAAGTCAAGGGGTCTGAATACTTTCCAAAGTTCCATGGAAATGACCTTGGGCTGTAGAAGTGTTTTGCTTTGAATAGACCACATATTCATTATAGAATGTCTAGAGTTATTTTTTTTCTTCAAACCACATGAATCCAGTGCTGATACAGTATGTAAACATATTTCCAATGGAAATGGCAGAGTTAAAAAATAAGTCTTCGTTTCAAATATCACAAATGAATACACAGTAATAACATAATATTTAAGCCTGTAGACTAGATGGAGAAACGCTAAAAAAATAGAAATGTAAACCTTGATTTTGCAGTATTGTAGCATGCTGTGGTGTAGTATTGTAAAGGGTGAAATGGTGTGAAGTTGGCATTAGGCTGTGTAGCTGACGCAGCAGGTTTCCACTGAGACGTGTAATAGACACTGAACAGCCTGCCAAGGTCATTCACTGCAGACTGCAAAGGGAGTGGCCTAAAAACCCATTGTTAGAATCTCACCAGGAAGCCCCTTCCAGCTTGGGTCTGAGTGTGCGTGGTAAAGAAAGAGGAAAGAGAGAGGGAGGGAGGATGGAGAGAGGGTAGAGGTAGGGTGGAGGTAGGGAGGGTAGTGAGAGCAGGGGAGAAAGAGAGAGAGAGAGAGCGGTTGGGGAGCATCTTGTCCAGACCTTCTTAAAATGCTTCCATCTGGCTGTGGTTGTGCCGATAAGTGTCGCAGTCCCTTGGCAGGCAGGGCCACATTCCCCTGTCCCTGATCCTGTATCTGATCCAGGATGAACCAGGGGGAATGGGGGCTGCTGCCTGCCTGCCTTCCTTCTGCTGCGGAGGGAGAACTGGCCCTTGAAATGAGCGTCATGGTCCAAAACCCTATGGTAGATTGTGGGAGGGAGGCTGAGTGTAGGTACAGTTGACTGTGGAACTGTGAGTCATGACTAGAACAACATGGCTACCTGTATCTGTGACCCTTCAACCCTGAATCTAGTCTTGTCTTTGTCACCAGGGGACGGGACGCTGAGAGTGTGGGACGTGAAGACCGGGAGGTGCAGGCTGGCTATCCCAGCCCACAAGGCAGAGATCCTCAGCTGTGACTGGTGCAAATACGATCAGGTACCGTGGTACTTTACTGCAGTACAGCCCCCAACTGTTAAAACCTCAGCCCAAAACATTTAATTTGACGCTTGGAAGCAGGAGTTTATGAAGTGGACCTAAAGACATTTAGGTTTAAAATGCCAACGCTTCAATCCATTAATAAAACCCATCCTGGGATTGAGAACAGAGATACTGTACAATCACCTCTGCCACATCCTAGCCTCACTGTCATTGTTATTATTGATATTGCATATTTATATGTGAAAAGACCTCTATAGGTTGAAAAAGGTCTTGTTTCAGCATTTCTTGCCATAAAGATTAATATTTATTTCCCCTAATCATAATTATTGTTGATAAATGCCTGTGTTAGTACAGTATGTACCTTTGGGGCTCCCGAGTGGCGCAACGGTCTAAGGCACTGCATCTCAGTGTTTGAGGCGTCACTACAGACCCCCTGGTTCGATTCCAGGCTGTATCACAACCAGCCGTGATTGGGAGTCCCATAGGGCGGCGCACAATTGGCCCAGCGTCGTCCGGGTTTGGCCGGTGTAGGCCTTCATTGTAAATAAGAATTTGTTCTTAACTGACTTGCCTAGTTAAATAAATAAATATATATATATATTTTTTTTTTTTATGTACCTTTGGGGGAAAGAAATGACACTGTCTGGGCTGTCCTCAGAATGTGATAGTAACTGGAGCAGTGGACTGTAGCCTGTGTGTGTGGGACCTACGGAATGTCCGGCAGCCTCTGTCACATCTACTAGGCCATTCCTACGCCATACGAAGAGTAAAGGTAATGTAGCATCCCTTCTCACCCATACACCATCCTAGGGCTGGGCAGTAAACCATATGTTACTATATAACGGTATTGATGCACGGACCGGTTTGGATTTTAACTTTACCTTACATAACGGTATTTCAATATTTGGTTTGTTAGTTTCAAGTTTTAATGTCACATGCACAAGTACAGTGAAATGCCTTTCTTGCAAACTCAATACCCAACAATGTGATAATCAAATCAATGTATTACTAGAACAAAAACACGAGAAATATGAAATACACAATAAAGTTAGTAAGTAAGTAAGCATACTATATACAGGAAATGTTGAAAAAGTCAGATCCAATACCATATTTACATGTGCAGGGATACTGGAGTGATGGAGGTAGATATGTAGAGGTAAGGGGACTAGGCAGCAGGATATAAGATAAACAGAGTAGCAGCAGCTTGTACGTGAGTGGGTGTGTAGAGTCAGTATAAATGTATGTGCATGTTATGTGTGAGTGAGTGTTTGTGTGTGTGTAGGGCCCTGTCAGTGTGCATAGAGACAGTGCAAAGATTGAAATAAAAGGTAAATAAAGATACAAGGTAAACTCAGAAAGTCCGTGTAGCTATTTATCAGTCGTATTGCTTGGATATAGAAGCTGTTCAAGAGCCTGTTGGTGTCGGACTTGATGCACCGGTACCTCTTGCCGTGCGGCAGCAGAGAAAATAGTCTATGGCTTGAGTGGTTGGGTTCTTTGACGATTTTCCAGGCCTTCTTTTCACACCGCCTGATATAGAGGTCCTGGATGGCAGGGAGCTTGGCCTCAGTGATGTACTGGGCTGTCCGCACCACCCTCTGTAGCGCCATGCGATCGAGGGTGGTGCTATTGCCATACCAAGCAGTGATGCGGCCAGTCAATATGATTTGAGGGCCCATACTAAACTTTTTCAACCTCCTGAGGGGGAAAAGGAACTGTTGCACCTTCTTCACGTGCGTGTATGTTTGGACCATTTTAAGTCTTTAGTGATTTGGACACCGAGGAACTTGGTGCTGTTAAATGTATGAATGTAATAACTGAGTGATGAAACTCGAAAAATGATGCCAATTGTCCGTTCTGTCAGTAAGAGACTGCTAACCGAATGTGCGCATAATGCACTTTTTTGCCATGATTCTTGCCTGTGATGCAGTGCTGGTGCCAAAAGAATTGTGGTGAAAGTAAGAACTGCCATTGAATCCATTGAAAATACTTGGTCATAGACGGGTTGTTTGTTTAGCAACAAAACCGACGCGTTGTCACGATCGTCTAACAGAGATGAGGACCAAGGCGCAGCGTTGCAGGCAAACATACTCTTTATTAGAGACACGATCAAAAACAACAAAACGATAACGTGACAGTTCACGGTCTAACACAACAGACTAGAAACAAGATCCCACAAACTCTGTGGGGAAACAGGCTGCTAAAGTATGGTTCTCAATCAGAGACAACAAGCAACAGCTGAATCACGTTGCCTCTGATTGAGAACCACACTGGCCAACATAGAACAACAATACTAGAATGTGAAACCTAGAACAAAACACAGACTTTACACACCCTGGCTCAACATATTAGAGTCCCCAGAGCCAGGGCGTGACAGTACCCCCCCCCTAAAGGCGCGGACTCCGACCGCGCCCACCAAATACCACAGGGGAGGGACCGGGTGGGCACTCCGCTTAGGCGGCGGATCCGGCTCCGGGCCTGATCCCCGCTCCCTCTCCAACCCCCCAAAGTACCCCTGGTCCGGTCTGGCCCCGCTGGCCGGAGCTGGACTGCACACTGGTGGAGCGGATTGCTCTAGCTCCGGCGTGAAGCATCTGACCGGTGCCGGACCAGCCACCGGTGGAACAGGCACGGGCCGTGCCGGACTGACGACGCACACCACTGGCTTGGTGTGGGGAGCAGGAGCGGGCCGAGCCGGGCTGACGAAACGCACCACTGACTTGGTGCGGGGAGCAGGAGCGGGCCGGACCGGGCTGACGAAGCGCACCACTGACTTGGTGCGGGGAGCAGGAACGGGCCGTGCCGGGCTGACGAAGCGCACCACTGACTTGGTGCGGGGAGCAGGAACGGGCCGAGCTGGGCTGACGAAACGCACCACTGACTTGGTGCGGGGAGCAGGAATGGGCCGGACCGGGCTGACGACGCGCACCACTGACTTATTGCGGGGAGCAGGAACAGGCCAGACAGGGCTGACGAAACGCACCACTGACTTGGTGCGGGGAGCAGGAATGGGCCGGACTGGGCTGGCGACGCGCACCACAGACTTGGTGCGGGGAGCAGGAACAGGCCGGGCCGAGCTGGCGACGCGCACCGTAGACTTGGTGCGAGTGGCAGGAACAGGCCGGACCGTACTGGGAACACACACCACTGGCCCTACGTGGGGATCAGGAACAGGCCGGACCTGACTGGCAACACACGCCAGTACCTCTCGCCGTGCCTCTACATCCTCCTTCCCCCTGGTGACCAGTGACTCCCGTAACCTGGCGGCCTCCTGCTGCCCCGTCGTCCACGGCGTTAGCCCCCCCCTAAAAAAATTATGGGCTTCACTCCTACCCGTGGACCAGGTCTCCATGCTTCTCGCCAGCCTTTCGCCCTTCTGCCTCCACGTCAAGCCCCTCTCTTCCTCACCCGGCTTGACCCAGTCGAGGAGGCGCTGGATATCCGCTAGGGATTTCCCTGGCGATGGCTCCTCGACCCGCTGCTTGGTCCAGTTCTGGTGGGATCTTCTGTCACGATCGTCTAACAGAGATGAGGACCAAGGCGCAGCGTTGCAGGCAAACATACTCTTTATTAGAGACACGATCAAAAACAACAAAACGATAACGTGACAGTTCACGGTCTAACACAACAGACTAGAAACAAGATCCCACAAACTCTGTGGGGAAACAGGCTGCTAAAGTATGGGTCTCAATCAGAGACAACAAGCAACAGCTGAATCACGTTGCCTCTGATTGAGAACCACACTGGCCAACATAGAACAACAATACTAGAATGTGAAACCTAGAACAAAACACATAGACTTTACACACCCTGGCTCAACATATTAGAGTCCCCAGAGCCAGGGCGTGACACGCGTGTGCGACTAGGGGGCAAAACAGACAGGGTTGGCTTAGATTGTTGACAAAATGTAAACTTTATTTTGTTTCCGAATGTTTATTGAAAACATAAATACATTTGCACAATGAGCACTTGTTGTCTCTCAAATACATTGTTACAGTTGTTGGTTAGCTAGCTAGCAAAGTTGAGCCATATTAACATTGACATGAAATCAGTCAAAACACCTCAAAACAAGACATGGTATCAAGAACAAGATAAAACTTGCTGAAACGAGCCACCTACGATTCCCCGCATGGCAGCTTCGTCATCGTTGCTAGCTTATGATTCAGAATCATAACAAAGCACGGCTTCCATCCCCATTGATGCGTGCGCATAATTTCCGTGACATTGTCAGACAACTCATCTATAGAGGAGAATAATTATTCTGATAAAGGAAAAGGGACTTTTTCACAAAATAGATGCATACAAAGACAAAACAAATGTGGTACAGTGTGGAAATGATAACACATGAGTGAAGGAAATGCAGAAATAGATGAAAATGCAAAAAAAAGTATTTGTGTTTGAAGTTTGATTAAACATTGTAAAACAATCAGAAGAGAGAAAGCCCTGTTTAAAACCACTTAGAATGTATTTGTTGCCACCCCAGGATCATGCACTACTCATGAAGCATATTTAGAACACATAAAATACTTTCATACCGTCAAAAATGAGAAAGATATCATGATATTATATTCTGTCATATCGTCCAGCCCTACACCATCCTCTCAGTTCCAAGAAAAGGCTTTTCCACTGTGTTAAATTATGTTAGCGAATTGCCAGCTGTTGGAAGCAGGAAACAGCTCAGCAATACTCGACAGCACCCCCTCCCTCTTTTTTTCACCTGTCTGCCTAGCAACCTGTTCTGGAAAGATGGTTCTGGTGTGATCAAAGCACTCAGCTGAATGGAGTTAACAAGCGCAGTACAGTACGGTCTGATGGGATCCTAGGCAGCTTTGCAGTACACTGGGCCAGCTCACAGGCCCTGCTGTGGTGACAGCTATAGATTCTCCCCTCCAAGATTTGTTTAATGGATTTTGAGAGAAAGGTGGTGGGTTGGATGGGTCGGTCGACGGGCCCTAGCTACCGTGTCCATCTAACAACCACCAATTAGTCCGATTAAACAGAATTGACTTTACTCTGCCCCCCGACAGATGGACCAGCAAGTGTCTAGACCTCATCGGCCCTCATCACATGATCCATGTGATTCTCACTCCTCTTAACAATGGGGAATCACCCTGCCACACACTTGAACATCACATAATCAGCTAGAGCTAGCTACAACACTATCAGTTGGAAGTCAGGTGTTTTCAGGACAGCTTTTTAGCAGGCGTGGGTAATCAATAGATGCAGGGTGTTCATAGGGGACCTTATCTTGAGGTTTCCAGTGTGTTTGTAAACCTGCCATCAGGTATAGATTTTCTTAAGGCAGCAAGTCTATATGATGTTACAAATATAGCATATCAGCAAGTCTGGGAGGACACTGAAAAGAGTGCTCAAAGTAAATGAAAAAGTGCTTGGCAAATCCCTTGTGCTTACATCATGGAAAGATAATATACTGTAGATACAAGCAGATATTTGATTACTTTCATTTAACTACATCAAAGCCCAAACTGAAAGATGTGTAAAGGTAAAAGTGTTTAGTCATGGTTGTGTGTGTGCCAGCCAATTTCCCCCTCACTAGGGTGACCACATGTCCCGGATTGTGCGGGACAGTCCCGCATTTTGGCCCTTTTTCACCCAACCAAACCAGACTCCCCATTAATTTGATGAGAATTGGCTTTCCAACCTATTTCTTTCGCAGTCACGTTGCGTTTATGACAAGATATATACTCAGTTTATTAGGTACACCTATCTAGTACCGGGTTGGACCCCCCTTTGCCTCCAGAACAGCCTGAATTCTTCAGGGCATGGAAACATTGCTCAATTGGTATCAAGGGACCTAACATGTGCCAGGAAAGATTCCCCACACCATTACACCACTGCCACCAGCCTTTACCGTTGACACCAGGCATGATGGGGCCATGGACTCATGCTGCTTACGCCAAATCCTGACTCTGCCATCAGCATGACGCAACAGGAACCGGGATTTGTCGGACCAGGCAATGTTTTTCCACTCCTCAATTGTCCAGTGTTGGTGATTGCGTGCCCACTGGAGCCGCTTCTTCTTGTTTTTAGCTGATAGCAGTGGAACCCGGTGTGGTCGTCTGCTGCAATAGCCCATCCGTGACAAGGACCGACGAGTTGTGCGTTCTGAGATGCGGTTCTGCACACCACTGTTGTACTGCGCTGTTATTTTTTCTGTTTGTGGCCCGCCTGTTAGCTTGCACGATTCTTGCCATTCTCCTTCGACCTCTCATCAACAAGCTGTTTTCGCCCACAGGACTGCCGCTGACTGGATGTTTTTTGTTTGTCGCACCATTCTCAGTAAACCGGCCGTTTCTGAGATACTGGAAACGGCACGCCTGGCACCGACGATCATTCCACACTCAAAGTCGCTTAGCTCACTCGTTTTGCCATTTCTAACATTCAATCGAACAGTAACTGAATGCCTCGATGCCTGTCTCCCTGCTTTATATAGCAAGCCACGGCCACGTGACTCACTGTCTGTAGGAACAAACCATTGTCGTGAACAGGGTGATGTACGTAATAAACTGGCAACTGAGTGTATATCATAAGGATGTGGTACTGGTGATGTTAAACACTTCTCCAATCGTTGTTGATATTTTGCGCAGCGCAAGACGAGACGTAGGCCAATGTCATATCGTCAGCCAATCACATTTGTCAAATCCTTTCGGGCTACATTTCAGCTAAACTTGGAGAGGACAGTTAACTACTTACAAAAAGCATGCTTGTAACGAAGAGCTAACAAAATAAGTAAATAGCCATATTAGACTGAAATATATAAGGTAATTTAGCTATTCAACATATTTGCTGCCACTTAATCCTGTTTTAAAAGTCCCTTCCTGATTGTTTTACATTCCCTGAGACCAACCAGAAATGTTTCCTTGGCCAAATATTCCCAGATTTTCATAAAACAGCCACACGTGATCTCTCGTTTCTGCATCACCAAATTTTGTGCGAGGCAGAAGAGCAGGCTAAGTGTGCTTCAATCAGGTTGCTCAATGCAGCGGGAGAGGGATTTTTGTTTGTGTGTGTTTATTCATGTAGGCTACACTGTCCGGCAAATGTCCCGCAAAATCATCCAGTTGTCCCGCATGATTGTTTATTTATTTATTTATTTATTTATCCCCTTTTCTTCTCCCCAATTTCATCATATCCAATTACGATCTTGTCTCATCGCTGCAACTCCCCAACGGGCTCAGGAGAGGCGAAGGTCAAGTCTTGCGTCTTCCGAAACATGACCCGCCAAACCGTGCTCCTTAACACCCGCCCGCTTAACCCGGAAGCCAGCCGCTCCAATGTGTCGGAGGAAACACAGTTCAACTGATGACCGAAGTCAGCCTGCAGGCACCCGGCCTGCCACAATAAGTCGCTAGAGCGCGATGAGCCAAGTAAAGCCCCTTCGGCCAAACCCTCCCCTAACCTGCACGACGCTTGGCCAATTGTGCACCGCCCTATGGGACTCCCGGTCACGGCCGGTTGTGACACAGCCTGGGATCGAACTCGGGTCTGTAGTGACGCCTCAAGCACTGCAATGCTGTGCCTTAGACCGCTGCGCCACTCGGGAGGCGCATTTGGGTATTTTAAATGTCACCCTACCCCTCACCTGTTATTTTTAAAAATGACTGTCAAATTTTGCACGTTTATATCGTACTCTTATGGCTTTTCCCACAGTTCTCTCCATTCAACCAGACAGTGTTGGCCTCGTGTTCCTATGACTTCACAGTCAGGTAAGACATTCTAATCATGATTCTGTAATTCTTGTTCAGCTTGTAATGCACACTGAGCCATAATATCCCACTGAATGAACAATGTTTAAAGACAAATGCCGCATTAAAACAAGATTTCATTTGTGACACACATTCAACTATGCAGTGTCAGACCTTTACTAAAACCCATTGGAGTCAGTGAAGCGTGATCACTAGATGATACTGTTTCCTGGAAGAAGGGCAATCTCCTGGAACTATTTTTTTTTAAATTACCTCCAGGAACACTCGTGTTTGAGGGGTCTGTAGAAATATGTGTAAAATATGCATGCAAGCAATGGGAAGACCAACTACAATCGTACTATGTTGAGTAGGGTCATAAAATCTGTAATTTCAAGGTAGACTGGTTTATTGTTATTTGGCAATGCATATTCTCAGTCTCAGAGTTTGAATATGTGAGCCTAATTCCCAAACAATGCAGTCAGTCAAGGGTGAGTTGTTTAGTGTCATGCCTCCACCAACAGAACCCCACATAATCAGAGCAGGCATCCCCAGTGCAGCAACAACATGCTAGTCAATCATGACCCATAAATCACTTTTGTGTACCCTGTCGTCTTTTAGAATCATTCCTTGAGACAGAATTAAAATCATCCTATGCTATTCTGTACTGAGATCTTATTCTATTCCTCCCGTTTTTTCCAACCTTAGATCTATTTGAATAATGGCAATGATGCCTGTTGAGGTTGATACAGAAAGTTGGGTTTTAAGGTACCCAAGCTGTCTCCTGTTCACAAAGTAATGCGTCTGTATCGGCCATTAAGATCTAGGTATCGCTGGTCGTCCAAAGGGAGGGAAGGTTGTCTTGTAGGGATGGGGGGAAAAAATCGATACATTTTACATATCGGGATATTATTTGTAATTATATTTCGTATCGTTTGGACTATCGCAATATTATTTTTGCGCTAGTTGGCTGTACCTGCACCAAAGCTCATACTATATTTCCCTCATAGCTTGTTCTCCATCTTTTTTTAAATATGGAGCCAATTTGTTGTCTCCACTTTTATTTCCATGTCTGATCAAAACTTGTTTTCTCATGGCTCTCTCTTGTCCTTCTGCAGCAGACATATGGTGAGCAATATGTTTGGAACATCGAATCGCATTAAAATCACAATACATATAGAATTGTGAGAATCGCATTCGGAAAGTATTCAGACCCCTTGACTTTTTCCCCATTTTGTTACGTTACAGCCTTATTCTAAAATTGATTAAATCGTTTTTTTCCCCTCATCAATCTACACACAATACCCCATAATGACAAAGCAAAAACAGGTTTTTAGAACTTTTTGCAAAAAAACAGAGGAAAAAAATAACTGAAATATGACATTTTCATAAGTATTCAGACCCTATACTTTGTTGAAGCACCTTTGGCAGCGATTACAGCCTAGAGTCTTCTTGGGTATGACGCTACAAGCTTGGCACACCTTTATTTGGGGGAGTTTCTCCCATTCTTCTCTGCAGATCCTCTCAAGCTCTGTCAGGTTGGATGGGGAGCGTCGCTGCACAGCTATTTTCAGGTCTCTCCAGAGATGTTCGATCGGGTTCAAGTCCGGGCTCTGGCTGGGCCACTCAAGGACATTCAGAGACTTGTCCCGAAGCCACTCCTGCGTTGTCTTGGCTGTGTGCTTAGGGTCGTTGTCCTATTGGAAGGTGAACCTTCGCCCCAGTTTCAGGTCCTGAGCGCTCTTTAGCAGGTTTTCATCAAGGATCTCTCTGTACTTTGCTCCGCTCATCTTTCCCTCGATCCTGACTAGTCTCCCAGTCCCTGCCGCTGAAAAATATCCCCACAGCATGATGCTGCCACCACCATGCTTCACCATAGGGATGGTGCCAAGTTTCCTCCAGACGTGACGCTTGGCATTCAGGCCAAAGAGTTCAATCTTGGTTTCATAAGACCAGATAATCTTGTTTCTCATGGTCTGAGAGTCCTTTAGGTGCCTTTTGGCAAACTCCAAGCGGGTCATGTGCCTTTTACTAAGGAGTGGCTTCCGTCTGGCCACTCTACCATAAAGGCCTGATTGGTGGAGTGCTGCAGAGATGGTTGTCCTTCTGGAAGGTTCTCCCATCTCCACAGAGGAACTCTGGAGCTCTTTCAGAGTGACCATCGGGTTCTTGGTCACCTCCCTGACCAAGGCCCTTCTCCCCCGATTGCTCAGTTTGGAAGAGTCTTGGTGGTTCCAAACTTCTTCCATTTAAGAATGATGGAGGCCACTGTGTTCTTGGGGTCCTTCAACGCTGCAGACATTTTTTGGTACCCTTCCCCAGATCTGTGCCTGGACACAATCCTGTCTCGGAGCTCTACTGACAATTATTTCGACCTCATGGCTTGGTTTTTGCGCTGACATGCACTGTCAACTGTGGGACCTTATATAGACAGGTGTGTGCCTTACCAAATCATGTCCAATCAATTGAATTTACCACAGGTGGACTCCAATCAAGATGTAGAAACATCTCAAGGATGATCAATGGAAACAGGATGCACCTGAGCTCAATTTCGAGTCTCATAGCAAAGGGTCTGAATACTTATGTAAATAAGGTATTTCCGTGCTTTGATATTATGGAGTATTGCACTGTATGTGTTCCATAGAAATGGCTTTGGGCAGTAGAAGTGTTTTGCTTTGAATAGACCACCTATTCATTATAGAATGTCTAGAGTTTTTATTTATTTTTTATTTTTTTATTTTTTTTACCACATGAATGTCATTATGCGGTATTGTGTGTAGATTAATGAGGGGGAAAAAATATTTAAATTTTTTTCGAATAAGGCTGTAACGTAACAAAATGTGGAGAAAGGGAAGGGATCTCAGTACTTTCCGAATGCACTGTATCGTATCGGCACCTAAGTATCGTGATCGTATAGTGAGGTCCCTGGCAATTCCCAGCCCTATTGTCTTGTGTATCTGGTGGGGAAAAGTTGTATTGTCACATACACTGCAGTGAAATGTGTTGTTTTACAGGGTCAGCCATTGTAGTATGGCACGGTAGTGGAACAAAGTAGGGTTAAGTGCCTTGCTCAAGGGCACATCGACAGAGTTTTCACGTTGTCGGCTCGGGTATTCGAAACAGCAACCTTTCGATTACTGGCCCAATGCTCTAACCGCTAGGCTACCTGCCGCCGTGTACAGTGCAGTGTTCAGTGGGCTGGTTGGCTGGTTGGCTGCTGAGGTTTGGACCAGCGCCAGCCTGACTTTTATTGATCTGGTCTGGGCCAAGACTGCCTTGGTTAATTCAGGCAGATTACTGTGGTGGTGTATTTCATTACAAAAATCACTCTAACTCTCCCTCACTACACAAATACATTTTATGCGACACCAGTCTTCTTCATGCCCATCCAAAACCAGCCTTAACTTGTTGTTTGATGTCCGAATCGAGTCAATTGCTCTCGTGTGAAAAAACAAAAACAAAACATTTTTTGGGGGGTGGAGGATAAACACAGTTTTTCTCTCTCTCTGATTGTGTGGAAAACTTGGTCTCTTTGTTGACGACTTGGTTGCATCTGTCTGACAGAAAGTTATGCCATGTTACTCAAGTGCCCTTAGGTAAAACATAAGTAACACACTTGCCACTGATCGGGCTTACCAAATAAAAACTTCCCACCCAGGAATTAGTCATTTTTGGGAGGTTTTCTTCAGTATGCCATCACTGGATTACTGTCATACTGTTTGGTGAAGGCCTACCTGAACTACACTCTAAAAAGTAAAGGTTCCTGGAGGATCCTTTAGGGGTTCTTCAAATTGAAACTGTGGGGGAACCCCTATAAGTTATTGAGAGTGTGGACAGGTGTCTTTTATACAGGTAACGAGTTCAAACAGGTGCAGTTAATACAGGTAATGAGTGGAGAACAGGAGGGCTTCTTAAAGAAAAACTAACAGGTCTGTGAGAGCCGGAATTCTTACTTGTTGGTAGGTGATCAAATACTTATGTCATGCAATAAAATGCAAATTAATTACTTAAAAATCATACAATGTGATTTCCTGGATTTTAGTTTTAGATTCCGTCTCTCACAGTTGAAGTGTACCTATGATAAAAATTACAGACCTCTACATGCTTTGTAAGTAGGAAAACCTGCAAAATCGGCATTGTATCAAATACTTGTTCTCCCCACTGTATGCACGCAACACTTTTCCGTAGTTTATTTTTTCGATTTTTTTTTAACAAGTTATTTTTTCATTTCACTTCACCAATTTCGACTATTTTGTGTATGTCCATTACATGAAATCCAAATAAAAATCTATTTAAATGACAGTTTGTAATGCAACAAATAGGAAAAACGCCAAGGGGGATGAATACTTTTGCAAGGCACTGTACATATTCTTAACTCTTTGTTGATTGATATCCATTGAATTGTATCCATTTTCTGTTTTAGAAAGATTTGCACAAATATGAAAAGATAGATGGTATCATCATAAAACAATATCAATTTAGATCATACAAGGGACAAACCTTACCTTTAAATTTAAGAGATCTTGACATTTGTCAGTTAAGTGCCTGCACCTGCAGTCCTTTCAAATTCAAATCCAAATGTTTAGGTTGGGCAGTTAGGTTCCTGCAAGAACCCCACCAACTATTGAGGTTCCTCGATGAACCCCACCTCCTATGCGGTTCTTGGAAGAACCTTTTGGGGGCAATTTTCAGTGCCAAGAACCCTAAGGTTCTTCAAAGAACTTTGAGGATCTTAGAAGAACCCTTGTTGAACCCCTAAACTATTCTGTCTGCTATTCACTCTTCACTTCCCTTGACTTGGCTTTTTGTTTCCGATGTCACGTGAAAGTCAGTGGCTATGGGAAAGCCCCTCCATATTTGATTACCCCTTGTCCCACACTGGTGCCTCTGTGCTCCTATAGCTCTAGACACACAGAGCAGGATCATGAGTCTCTCACTGAATTTCAGTCTCAAGACTCAGTTATAATAATTAGGTCATTCCACCAATTCGGTGCCTTTTGAGAATTGTAACTTTGTCCAAATAAACTTTAGATTTCACCTAATTTTTACATTCTGTCATAAAGAGCGCATGTTTAACTTACTAAAAAACACTTTTTCCCATCTCAAGAGGTTATAGAAAAAAAATTCCAGTAAGTGCCAAATAAAGTAACAGTGTTGACAGTAACAGAGTTGATGATTTCTTCTTAAATCAGCCATAAATCCCATTGTGACAAGGGGAATGGAAGCTTATTGTGTGCAACGTGGAGTGGCAATTGAATGCAAGCTTGACAAAAAAAAGTTCAAAACAATTTTTTGCCTGTCTATCTATGGGTAACAGAGTTGTGTTATGCTCGACCCACTCAGTTTTCCACCACAAAATACCAGAACATGGCCAAAAAACGGTAGAACCAGCTCACCTGCTTTTACACTATGATTTGACTATTAGAGGTTCAATGTTTTTTTTGTTTTTTTAAGGAATCGTTTCACCATATTCAATCGAAAATTAAGTTCCTTAAAATGAGGGACAGACGTAAATTAATCACTAATCACATGAAATAAATAAGCATCTCCAGAAATGACTTTGTCAAAGCAACAAAATAACAATTTACAATGATGGTAAAACTTGGAGCATTTTGAGATTGTGGTTTAAAATCTTCCTAGAAGTGACACATGGTTGGGGGACATGTCAAAATGCAGAATTTTGGCACTTTACCAAGCCTTTATTCATATTACAAATCCGATTCATAGAATCTTCCATATTGTCTATATTAAAAGGCACTTCATTTAATATAACAGGCTTTTAAAATGCAATATGGTGCACAATTTCTACTTAAAATATCAAAGGGCACTTTTTTTGTGTAACAACCCAATTGTGTTGTGCTGGCCTGTACACGTGTGGGAGAAATTATCAGTTATCATTCAGATTTATATATGATATGGGTTACTGACCGGATATTTAACCAGAATTGTCAGTGTAACTCAAGACCACGTTAGCCTACAGAGCTAATAGCCTAAGTCTACGTACATATGACTGGGTAAACTCATAGATCAATACTGTTTAATGCAGAGCGTGTTAAGCCATGGGAACATGCTGTTGTGTCATATTCAGGGAAGAAACCAGGTAATTATTTCTGGCACTGCACTGCATCGATCACCTATACTTTAAAGGTAATTAACAGAAATGATTTTCCTTAGAACGTCATCGCACTGCTGAACAAAAGGTTTGTTTTGCTATAGATTAAAAAAACACGGCCATGCCTTGTGTGTCATGTATGTACTGTCCATTCATTACAGGCATGGGACTGGGTAGAGGCGGTGGCACCTGTTGTAACGTAGACCTCATCCCAGGCCTCTGTTTACTCACCACAAGTCATGTTTGGGTGTCTTTAGAATTCTGCCAGGTCCTGGTGTTTACATGAGATTAGGTGTCCTGTTTGACTCACAGCATTAGGTGAGGTAGGGTTGCCATGGTGGGCTCTGTTCATTCAGGAGTGTTGGGACAGAAGGTAAATGATGCGCTGGCCGCTGCCTCCTGTTATTGTAGGGCTAATTAGAGCAGGATATTGCCTCACCTGAATTAGCCTGAACGCTGGCTGGATATTGTGGGAGGAACGAGAAGGAGAGCCATCTACAGTACCTGAGCTAGAGCGCGTCGCCACTGGGCCTGGATCTGACTAACTGTTTGTTCCCACAGAAACGTAATGAGTGTGAGTTATGAAGATGGATCGTGTCGTCTTTTGAGTCCTACTGACACTACTCTCTTGAAGTGAATGGGGTGGTACACCTGCTCGTCGAACATTTCATTCCAAAATCATGGGCATTAATATGGAGTTGGCCCCCTCTCTGCTGCTATAACAGCCTGCACTCTGCTGGGAAGGCTTTCCACTAGATGTTGTAACATTGTTGCAGGGACTTGCTTCACTTCAGCCACAAGAGCATTAATGAGGTCGGGAACTGATGTCGGGCGATTAGGCCTGGCTCGCAGTCGGTGTTCCAATTCATTCCAAAAGTGTTTGATGGGGTTAAGGTCAGGGCTCTGTGCAGGCCAGTCAAGTTCTTCCACACTGATCTCGACAAACCATTTCTGTATGGACCTCACTTTGTGCACAGGGGCATTGTCATGCTGAAACAGGAAAGGGTCTTCCCCAAACTGTTGCCACAAAGTTGGAAGCACAGAATCGTCTAGAATGTCATTGTATGCTGTAGCGTTAAGATTCCCTTCACTGGAACTAAGGGGCCTAGCCCGAACCATGAAAAACAGCCCCAGACCATTATTCCTACTCCACCAAACTTTACAGTTGGCACTATGCATTCGGGCACGTAGCTTTCTCCTGGCATCCGCCAAACCCATATTCATCCGTCGGACTGCCAGATGGTGAAGAGTGATTCCTCACTCCAGAGAACGCGTTTCCACTGCTCTTAGGCTTGTGTGCGGCTGCTCGGCCATGGAAACTCATTTCATGAAGCTCCCGACAAACAGTTCTTGTGCTGACGTTGCTTTCAGAGGAAGTTTGGAACTCGGTAGTGAGTGTTGCAACCGAAGACAGACGATTTTTACGCGCTACGCTCTTCAGCACACGGCAGTCCCGTTCTGTGAGCTTGTGTGGCCTACCACTTCGCGACTGAGCCGTTGTTGCTCCTAGACGTTTCCACTTCACAATAACAGCACTTACAGTTGACCGGGGCAGCTCTAGCAGGGCAGAAATTTGATGAACTGACTTGTTGGAAAGGTGGCATCCTATGACGGTGCCACGTTGAAAGTCACTGAGCTCTTGAGTAAGGCCATTCTACTGCCAATGTTTGTCTATGGAGATTGCATGGCTGTGTGCTCGATTTTATACACCTGTCAGCAACGGGTGTGGCTGAAATAGCCGAATCCACTAATTTGAAAGGGTGTCCACATACTTTTGTAAATATAGTGTACGTACTGTAGACACTAAAAGGCGGAAGCCTTGTTCTCTTTGTGGATCTGTTTTATTCTTCTGTTGAACACCGATCTATCATTTAGACTAGAGAACACTCAACACATATTTTATTTTCCGAGGCTAATTTCCAAGTTTGTTTTCATCATCCGCATTGTTTTCACAAACCTCTTATTTCCTTTGACTCTAATGCTCTAAGTGTATTCTCTCTTGAATGCAATCCTACCTGTTAACATCCAATGGGCTCCAGTCCCACAGTGCAGTTACAGTATGGGAGAGGCCTAGTGCTGATTGACACTAACAGCTCTCTTTCTATAATAACTCTAAATGACTGACTCCCCTGGCACACATAAATAGGCCCGGAGTATTTTCAAAAGAACTAATTTAATTACATTTGCTAAGTGGATCAGTCTGGTGTGCGCTGCGTCAGGGCTTTGAGCCATCGCCCCGGCCGTCAGAAGGGGAATGAGGGAGAAACGGCCTTTCAATTAGTGTGATTGCCTCATGTTGTGTTGGGCTGCGTCTGCTTCCACAGGCTCTGGGACTACTCCAGGACAGAGCAGCCGCTGCTGGAGACGCTGGAGCACCACTCAGAGTTCGTCTGTGGCCTGGACTTCAACCTGCACATCCCCAACCAGGTAACACATACCTGTCTGTCTCAGTATCGTTTAACTATCATCTCACTGGCCCATGCATTTATCTCAGCCACAGGGCTCAGCCATTGGACCCAACCTCTGTGGAAAAAATCGCTACTAGAGGTTCCGATGCAGCGACGTAACACCACAGCGGACACTTACCCCTTAGAGAAAAACTCTAGGCCCAGCACTTTCACTTAGAGAAAAACTCTCAAACACTACTTCTGCCTTTTCCTGAGGTATATGTTGTACTGAAGAAAACTGTTGCGTAGAGTAAATGTATCCTTATACAGTACACTGCAATGCAGTTCTATCTATCAGTCTGTCTTACAGTAGCCAGCATCCATGAATTAAATTCTCCAGTCACATTCTCCCTCACAAATTGTTTGATATCAGTCCAGCTATCAATATAGCAGAGGAACCATATAATTGAAAACATCACTCTCACGTCTTCTTATTACTACTCCGTACCTAGCCTCTAGTGTTGGGTCTCTCATGGCTGTTTACATTGTTCAGCCTGAGAGGACTGGAAAAATAGACTGATAGGATGTAATAAGCTCTATTGTAAAGGCTAGTCATTACTGGGGATGTCATTATTCACATGACGCTGATAGCCTGCCTGTATTATTCTCTGGAAAAAGCCTGTCACGCACAATCTGGCGTAAATACGACTGTGGGTGTGCAGTGTCCACGGAGGATGGGGATCTACACAAACCGAACAAACACACATTCCTGGAAACTTTTGAAGTTTACCAGTAAACTACCAGAATTCGGGTATCTTTCAAGGATTTGATGTAATCTATCACAATACATCTATATTTAGGATCATGTTTTACAGCTTTGTCATTCTTTATTTTTTCTTATTTAATTATTTCATATATTTGATATGTGATAAAGCCACACAGAGGGCCAGAGATTATTACAGACACCTGTGGTCATCTGAAATACCCAAAAGGGCCACTTGATATCTTGTGATAACTTTGAAAGTTTCCAGGAATGTGATCATCTGAAGTACCCTAAAGGGCCACTAGATGTCTTGTGATAACTTTGAAAGTTTCCAGGAATGTGTGTTTGTTCGGTTTGTGTAGATCCCCATCCTCCGTGGACACTGCACACCCACAGTCGTATTTACGCCAGATTGTGTGTGACAGGCTTTTTCCAGAGAATATATATATATTTAGTTGTTGGCTGCTAGTTGTTGGCTGCTTTTCCTTCACTCTGTGGTCCGACTCATCCCAAACCATCTCAATTGGGTTGAGGTCGGGTGATTGTGGAGGCCAGGTCATCTGATGCAGCACTCCATCACTCTCCTTCTTGGTAAAATAGCCCTTACACAGCCTGGAGGTGTGTTTTGGGTCATTGTCCTGTTGAAAAACAAATGATAGTCCCACTAAGCGCGAACCAGATGTGATGGCGTATTGCTGCAGAATGCTGTGGTAGCCATGCTGGTTAAGTGTGCCTTGAATTCTAAATAAATCACAGACAATGTCACCAGCAAAGCACCATCACACCTCCTCCTCCATGCTTCACGGTGGGAACCACACATGCAGAGATCATCCGTTCACCCACACCGCCTCTCACAAAGACACGGCGGTTGGAACCAAAAATCTCACATTTCGATTCCAGACCAAAGGACACATTTCCACCGGTCTAATGTCCATTGCTCATGTTTCTTGGCCCAAGCAAGTCTCTTATTATTATTGGTGTCCTTTAGTAGTGGTTTCTTTGCAGCAATTCGACCATGAAGGCCTGATTCACACGGTCTCCTCTGAACAGTTGATGTTGGGATGTGTCTGTTACTTGAACTCTGTGAAGCATTTATTTGGGCTGCAATTTCTGAGGCTGGTAACTCTAATGAACGTATCCTCTGCAGCAGAGGTAACTCTGGGTCTTCCTCATGAGAGCCAGTTTCATCATAACGCTTGATGGTTTTTGTGACTGTACTTGAAGAAACTTTCAAAGTTCTTGATTCCATATGTGTTATTTCATAGTCATCTGGCTTCTTCACCTGCGGGATCGTCTGAGGGGGGTGGGGGTGGGGGGTGGGGGATGCTGAGGAGTATTTCTGTCTGTAATAAAGCCCTTTTGTGGGGAAAAACTCATTCTCATTGGCTGTGCCTGGCTCCCCAGTGGGTGGGCCTATGCCCTGCAAGGCCCCACCCATGGCTGCACCCCTGCCCAGTCATGTGAAATCTGTAGATTAGGGCCTAATGAATTTATTTAAATTGACTGATTTCCTTATATGAACGATAACTCTTTTAAAATCTTTTAAATTGTTGCATGTTGCGTTTATATTTTTGTTCAGTATATTATAGTACAAATTAAAATAAATTTAAAAAATCTACTTAGTGAATACCATTGGTGTTTATGAGGGTTTCACCATGAAATGGCCTTAATATATTTTTTTTTACATACTTCGATTTATTTTACTATGTCAATGTGTTCAATGTTTTGGCGTCAAACTGGTGCCAGTTGTGAACACAGTCAATAGTTGGAAGAGCTGCAGAGTTCATTGAAAATAATGCGATTGTTGATTAGATGCTTTTTTTATTAATTAGGCTATTTTCTCGTGAACCATATGGTCTATCTACTAGAAAAAGTTAGTCAAGTATAAATTACCAAAGTTACGATAAACGATTGTCATACATTTTCTGTTAATTACCAAATTTCCTGAAGATTCTGGTAACTTTAGTAAATTACCAGTAGCTTTGTAACCTTACACACACACAGGGGCCTGCCTGTGGTGCAGTATGCAGGGTCTGGACTGTGGGGAGTTCACAGTCAGGCCTGACGTCAGCACTCAGAGTGATGGATGAAAGACAGCAGGTCAGAACTGTCAATGAGACATCACAGCCAGGCTGTGACTCAGATAACAGCAATCAACTACTGCACAGTTCACTTCTCCACCTACTTCACACTAATACAGGATACCTCAACTGTGCATATATTAGTAAAGGAATTAGACTAAGACTTCTATATTTTAAAAGTTTGTGTCAGCATATCCTTTTGGATTACCTTGAGGATAATCTTGAGGAGCCAAGCAAAAGGTATTTTTTCCCTTCTGGCAGAAGTAGATTTCGTAGAAAAGTAGATCGCGTTTAACATTCCTTTTTTAAGCAGTGGGAATGGCATCTCAGTCATCCATTTAGGTCTTGCACTTTACATAATTTCAGTTACCCGTAAAGTTTGTAAATGTAAACACTTTTTTAAGGATATGCCTGCACTTGGAACAGTAATCAAAATTACTCAGATGCCTTGCTTCTAATTGTTTTCAATGATGACGTCCCCCGAGCCAAACTCGTCTGGGGGCTGAAAATCTCTTTCTGGCAGATGTGTGCCAGTTGCACATCTACGGCTGCCAATGGAAGTCGTGCCTACCCAGCGCAGCTATACAAAAGCTTGCTTGGCACTCCAACCAATTTGTTGGGGTAAGTGTGTTTTTTCAACCATACATTCTTCCTAATTTACTCTGTCAGGCGCAGGTTTGTCTGTTGCCAACCTGCGGGGGTGCAGAAGGGTACGGTTACCTGTGCCAGGAAGAGGGGGCATGCAGTATTGAGCCGGGGAAAAACTCCTACAGCAATGTTTCTCCCCCCCCCATCAGTGGAGAGAATAAACCGCAGGCTAACGCACATAGCCGCCAAACCTCTATCTCAACATGCCAAGAAGAGACAGCCTTTACACACCCCACTACCCTCTCCAGTCTCCACATGACTGGAAGTCTCCTACAGTACAGCCCCCAACCTTATCCCTCTATGAACATACAGCGTGTCACTGCCCACCCACCATCCCCTTGCCCTCTCCCCAGCTAATGTGCAGAGTGGTCCCCCTCCCTCCCCCAAGGCAATGCTGCATGCAGTCACACGTGTCTGATTGATCTCCAGGTTGTGCTAGCCTCTGACCAGCTTATAGTCGTTGTGCTGTGAAGCACACCACACCACACAGCACAACAGCCTCCCCTACATAGACCCTCCAAACTGCAGCAATTACATGTTAACAAGTCCTTACGGAAGAGCAAAGTTAAGCTGCTTGGAATGCAGGCTGGGGTAATACATCACAGAGGGGAGAATATGACAGCTATTCTAACAGAGGAAATTCAGGGAGAGCCTCTCATAGTTTTCGTCCCTTAAAATAGTTTGGAGAAATCCGGTTTTGGAGAAAGTTGAAGTATGGGATTGGACCGCTCCGCTCTCTGCCACCCAGCAGGGACTGGGGACAGGGACACCCCTCAGGGGTCATTCTTCTTCCTCTTCCTCCTTTACCCTCCAGACTGCTGCAGCGCTGGCTTTCACTTTATGTTTTGCAGTAAAGTAATTAATGGAGGCCATTTTTTCCTTCAATGGCTGAGTCACGGGCTGGTCTGCTTGGCAGTGAGGCAGATTCTCCTCTCTGTAGTACTCAAGAATAATGAATTCCCCCCTCCCACCAAGATACGGAGAGGAGAGGAAAGAGCTAAATGAAGTATGGAGCTCTATTGGAGACATATTTCTTCAGGGCTAAATCATACTGGCAGAATTCTATAGCACCATGTTTGTTATTTTATGACCCTCCATACTTCATTGTTCATCAAATATATGTTTTTCTTTATTTTTACTATTTTCTACATTGTAGAATAATAGTGAAGACATCAAAACTATGAAATAACACATATGGAATCATGTAGGAACCAAAAAAGTGTTAAACAAATCAGCTTTGCACACTCTTGGCATTCTCTCAACCAGCTTCATGAGGTAGTCACCTGGAATGCATTTCAATTAACAGGTGTGCGTTCTTAAAAGTTAATTTGTGGAATTCCTTTCCTTCTTAATGCGTTTGAGCCAATCAGTTGTATTGTGACAAGGTACGGTTGGTATACAGAAGATAGCCCTATTTGGTAAAAGACCAAGTCCATATTATGGCAAGAATAGCTCAAATAAGCAAAGTGAAACGACAGTCCATCATTACTTTAAGACATGAAGGTCAGTCAATACGGGTAATTTCAAGAACTTTGAAAGTTTCTTCAAGTGCAGTCGCAAAAACCATCAAGCGCTATGATGAAACTGGCTCTCATGAGGACCGCCACAGGAATGGAAGACCCAGAGTTCATTAGAGTTACCAGCCTCAGAAATTGCAACCCAAATAAATGCTTCACAGAGTTCAAGCAACAGACACATCTCAACATCAACTGTTCAGAGGGGACTGTGTGAATCAGGCCTTCATGGTCGATTTGCTGCAAAGAAACCACTGCTAAAGGACACAAATATGAAGAAGAGACCTGCTTGGGCCAAGAAACGTGAGCAATGGACATTAGACCAGTGGAAATCTGTCCTTTGGTCTGCGTGAAGACTTTTGACTGCTGTGACATGGAGCTTTTTGTCTTTGGAGCTAAAAAGCCCTGATCAATTTGCCATGCTATTGAATAGCATTTTCATTGTCTTTAAAAAGACTAAATGAAAGTGGACAGTGTGTAATTGAGTTGATAACCATGACATTCTGTACTTCTGATAAGAGTTCAAACTAATAACGAACCCCACTAAGGCTCAAAAACATATTTGTCTCCACATTGTTGAAAATACACTTTGATGCCTTTGAGGCTTCAAAGCAATGACTCTGCTTGAATTGTCAATCTCCACCCAGACACTGTAACTGCAGTATATAGAATAATATTGAAAATGTCTAAACAGTGTGTGCAATTCTGTCTGAACAACAAAAATATGTGTCCTAACACTAAGACACTATAAAATGTTCAATGCTATTATAGGAACAGCGGACAATTGTGTACCAAAACTACCCTCAACGCTTCCCATCCAGCTCTGAAATCCCACCCATTGTATGAATGTGACCGACCATACAACAAGTCACATGCATCCTAATATATCATAGTCCTCTGTCTGACACCAGTTTGAAACCCAACAAATATTTATTTTCTTGTCATGTGAAATCACATGAGGACCTCATCTCCATCACTCGGTCACGTGGAGTCTCATTTTGATTAGTGCAATCTGTCTTTGTGTCCACAGGTGGTGGACTGCTCCTGGGATGAGACTGTAAAAATCTACACACCTCCATGCCTGGCTGCCCCGCCGCCTAGCGCACCGTAGAGAGCTCATAATTGCCCTGCCGCAAGGAACGGGAGAGAGGACTTTTAGGACGGCGGTGGGTTACGATCACTGCCGTGGCGTTTGCCAAAGCTTCACTGCGGCTTTCATAATGATGCTATTAAAAGGGGGGCCGTAGGGACACGTCATCATAGCCCACACACACAACAGAGTCCGAATACAGATGGGATAGCAGGGATTCCTCCCCATCTGGCCATCAGAGAGAGAGATATGGGGATCTGAAGGTTGCTCAACCAAACACGTGCCAACAAAGTGCCTGATGATCTGCTGTTTGTCCTTGTTGTTGGTAGAATGCTTGTCCTTATTGTTAGTAGAATGTATGCTCATATTGGTGTATTTAGTGATTTTTACAGATTTAGTAAGTGGTTGAAATTATTTGATTATTTACTTAATTTCTCTGGGTCCTCTACCAAGGAGGACTAGAATTAACAAACCTGTCCATATAGCTCAACACACAGGCTTGAACTCTATCGATGATCTTGTCAGACTTTCCATTGCATTAAAATGTTCATTCTACGGATATGAAAGTAAATGTCATGAATCTGACAGGTTCTCTGTGCCCTGGTGGTGAGGGGAGAGAGCCATCATTTAGCCCTCAGATATCCCAGCTTTATGCTGCTTAATGCGTATGAGTTACGCTGCTGAGGCCTGAACCAAATGTTCTCTGGAGACCGTTTTTCTTTTTCTGTGTGAGTAAATTTCATAATAAAAGTGACTGCACACATACTCTGCGGGCACTCTGTCCCTTTCAATGTCTTACATGAAGCAGAGTCACTGGATAGCTGTCTGGCATTGCACTGATCTGAAATAGGCTCCTAATTTGCTCTAACTCTCTTGGATTTAGTATTTTACCATCTTCTTTGCAATTGCTTCTTTTTTTACATATAGACTAAATTAATTGTCTTTCACCACTTTATTCTGTTGCCTATAGGCCTATGTTTGTTTGTTTTAGTTTCTTTATGTTTGTCTTATCAAGATTTGCTTAGCGCTATGGACTAAATGTCAATCACACAGGATGCATTCGTATCACTCTTAATTCCTAGAGGCGATATGGGAAAACTAACAGGGGAAATATTATATAAACAGAATGTGCCTTTCTTTGCTTAAAATGTGAAATAATCATGAAACATACTAATTATTATTGTTAATATTTTTGTAATGCCTATTGTATTTTAATGATACTCCATCATTTTGATTTTTCACACTGGAAGCTGAATTGTCGTGGGAAACATCAATCTACAGAGATAGTTAATAAAGACATCGGAGACAGTAATGCGTGGTTGAGATAACACTATAGAGAGGGTTCCCCTCAAAGCTGTATGTCCCTTGAAGAAAATTAACTGGGTCCATGTGCCCTGTTTCCCGTTCATCATTGCACTACAACTGAGCAGTCTAATTTACGCCGATTTCATGCGTTTGCAAAGCGTTGCAATTGGTCCGAGGACTGCAATATGTAAATAAAACAGCCTGGTAAAGTCCATCAAAGTAAGTGGGCTGGTTCCTAAGTCCGTTACCGTGGGTAAAGGGCAACCAACCAGTGTTGCGGCAAATGTATTATTCAACGTGGCAACTTACGCGCTCTAGTGTTGCGCCCATGCACCTCTGTGCTAGAGGGAATATACTGGCGGGTTTACCCATATGCACTGTAGTTTAGTTCTTTCACAACAGCTCACCTCGCTGCTGTATCCAACAGCATGTGACGTAAAAGTAAGAAAGCTAGAACCTCACGAGCAGAAAAGGTGATTTAATTGATGAAAACCTAATATTCAAACATATGCGTCAACATTCCCAAGCTTTTTTTTCTCTTCAACGTTTTGGGACCATCCTCTATTTGTTTTACGGGACCCTTTTATATTGAAAGGTCCTGCTTGTAATCGATTTTTTTCTTGACATTAATAACTTGGACATTTACAGCTGTGCTCTCCAGGAGAAAGGCTGTACAGTGTACACTTTATTCAAAGGGACTGAGCACACAATAAGGACTCACCGTTATTTCCCCTTTCTTGCACTTGCGTTTAAGGGAAATTCAAGGCAACCATGGAAGTTTGTAAAGGTCGTTTACTTGGTATCTCCGTCGCTGTTGCTCATGGATTTTTCTCAGGATCGTTGAACATTTTGCTAAAATTTCTCATCACGACTTATAACTTCAACTACCTCACTCTCATCCAGTGCCTCACCAGCACATTGGCGGCGATTACACTTGAGATATTAAGGAGACTGGGAAAAGTAGACATTCCCCCGTTCAGCCTTCAACTAGCCAAAGTCTTCGGAAGTGTTTGTATTCTGTCCACATTACAGTCCACTCTAACTCTTTGGTCTCTCAAAGGACTGAGTCTACCCATGTATGTGGTTTTCAAACGGTGTCTACCGTTGGCCACCCTGGGCATCGGCGTGTGCATCCTGAAGAACGGTAACCCGTCGGTGGGGGTCATAACGGCGGTGCTCATCACTACTGGAGGAGCAGCTTTAGCTGGTAAAATTACACGTATTATTATATTCTACTTATACATCAAGTGAAGTAGGAACGAAACATTATGATTTATTCTAAATTGCCTATCAATATGGTGCGTATTACGCAGTATATTGTGGTGAGTGTATGGGCTTCAAACTACTGCATACAAGCAATAATCCATCCTAGAATAATATTACAAATACACTAGCGGGCCCATTAGGCACAGACGTCATTTCAAGGTTTAGTTTTGATTTACACCTGGTTGAGCTCAAGTAATGTGAGTTCAAGTAAAACATAAGTCACCATGATGTTGGATTTAGGTATAATACACATTTTCGAAACTCCCTAATATTGATTACTTTTTGCAAATCCAATCCGTTTTCCACTTGATTCAATGTCAACACATATGTTTTTTTTTTAAATGACGTGGAAACAATGTTGATTCAACCAGTTTTTGCCCACTGGGGGATTACAAAAAAAAATAAAAAGTGATTACTGTTTTCTAGAAAGGTCCCATTGTAAAGTATACAGATGCAACAGTTCTGAATGTTGCTGATACTGTGAGGAAAGTTCAACACCATGCTATGTCCCCATTATACCATCATATGGATAGGATGTGTGTTAAAGATGTGTCTCCACACTACTTTATAATAACTTTCAGAGCCATGACATCCGCACAGTAAATTGGCCAGTGTTACCTAGTGCTGATTTTTCAGTGTAACATTTCTAGAGTTGATTCAAGAGTTAAATTAAGTCTGTAGAGTTGGACTTATCGCACCCGTTACTGAGATGGTTGTTCCAGTTTAAATGGTTTAGGTAGTCTCATTGAGCAATCTTCCTTACCTTGGCAGTCATTCTGAATGCAGATTTCGGGTGATTTGAAGTTCAAATTGAATCAGCCACTCTGGATAGATTGCAATAGGAATTACATATCACTTTGCAAGCCAGTATAAACTTGCCTGATTTGGCCTCCAAACAAGGAGTTTCAGACCACTGGAAAGGCACACTGGGAAATATGCAAGTAAGGCTTTACACCAGGGTTCTTCAATTCCGGTCCTGGAGGGCCGAAACACCTCTGTTTTTCATCCTCTCCTTCTAATCAGGGGCTAATTCAGACCTGGGACACCAGGTGAGTGCAATTAACTACCAGGTAGAAATAAAAAACAGAAGTGTTTCGGCCCTCCAGGACCGGAATTGAAGAACCCTGCTTTACACCCTACAGTGTTAAAGCAACACCCCAAAACAAGTTACTGCAACACTACAGGGGTTAATTCTCTAACACTGAGAAAGTGTAACAGCATTAGCTCTAAGCAAAGTGTTAATAAAAGCGTGGACCCATATAGACTGAAAAAGTGTTACATTTAACACTATCAGAGAGCTGATTAAACACTGGATAATTTTTTGTGTGGATACCTTACAATAGGGAAGTTTCGAGAAACTTTACTGTTCTCTCACCACTGCTGTTGTTATTGTGACACGGTGTCTGTGTTTACTCAGGGTCTGGTGACGTGATGGGTGACCCGTATGGCTACGTGACGGGCGTCCTGGCTGTGATCATCCACGCCTCCTACCTGGTCCTGATCCAGAAGACCAGCATAGACAGTGAATATGGCCCCCTCACAGCCCAGTACTCCATCGCCATCATGGCTTCCCCAGTTCTCTTAATCTGCTCCATCGTCAGCATGGACTCCATCAACATGTGGAGCTACACAGGCTGGAGTAACCCCTTCATCTCTGGCATCTTCTCCATCTGCATCCTCATCGGCTGTGCCATGAACTTCACCACGCTGCAATGCACCTACATCAACTCGGCCGTCACCACCAGCTTCGTGGGCGTGGTGAAGAGCATCGCCACCATCACAGTGGGCATGCTGGCCTTTAGCGACGTGGAGCCCACAAGGCTGTTTGTGGCCGGCGTGGTGGTCAACACGGTGGGTTCCATCACCTACTGTATCGTCAAGTACTTTGAGACCAGGAGGAAGACCCTCTACCAGGACCTGGAGGAGCAAAGCAAGGACGATAGCCTGCCTGGACAGCCTTACATCGAGAAGAAGCCACCCAACGGAGACCTGGAGCCCCTGCCCAATGGTCACACAAGGTCCGACGGAGGATCGATCGAAGGATCTTTCCCCACACAGGAGCACCTACTCAATAATCAGAGCCTCAGTGACCTCCCACCTCAAGATACCAGCAACAGCATGGAGTTTGTAGATCTCCAGAGAGAGGCCTTCCATAGCGAGAACCGGGTCAACCAGGCCAACCAGTCTGTGAGTGACAGTTACGTGGGGGTGTGGAGGTCCATCCGTAACCTGCAGTTCTTGAAGAAAGACACCTTAATAGATCATATGGAGGTGCAGAGCCCTTGATGGGGAATCTCTGTTTTCAAAGGGTGCATGTTTTGTCAGTCATTTATGATTGTATCTTTTTTCTGTTTGTTTTTAAGACTGCTTTGACATTGCGCACTGATGAATGTTTTGAGATCCGTTTTTTTCTGGCGACATGCTCTTATGGAAGCAAAAAAATATTTTTAAGAAGAAATAATATACTGACTATTCATAAAAAACATTTACGTTTAAATGTTTTGTATTGATTTTATCAGTCATATTAATAACAGGTGAATAATTGATAGTAAATCGGGTAAGGTTGAAATTGATATGTTATGAAATGTTATAGAAATATTAATTATTTTATTTGCACGTAATGTTACTGCCTGTCCAGATTCTGTATGGTCCATGAATTGTGATATTTGGCAAGTGAAGAGCAATAGCAACTTCCATTTGCATGTACAATGCAAAGTCAATTTAAACAATTTTTATGAAACTGTTCCACTGTGATGTTGGCCTCTTCTTTATGATAAAACCATTAGAGTGAAATGCATGGTAATTGTTTTAGCCATATTGCCTTTCCATTGAGAAATATTTTTAGAATTCCCAACAATAGATAGCTGTTGTGATAAGGTTCACTTAACATCAACACAATATAGGCTTACTGAAAGCTTCTCCCAGGGGCAGATATATATGATTGTATTTGTGAGGAGAACATTATGAGCAGACCACATAGATCCTTAATGTCAACATTAGATTGGAAAGATAATGACTTCTGTCTCTACAGAACACATCACTTATCTTATTGGGTCATTAGTCAAAGTAAACCACAACAATTCTCATAGAGAAGGTCTCAGCTGTTGAAGAAAACGCAGCTATTTCACATTACACCCAAGAAGGATTCCTGTGTCGTGATTCAAAGTAATACTGTATACATATCTGAAAGCTAATGCATTTTCCAGCATGTTTTAGAATATGTCCTTATCTAAATGCATGCAGTGAGAGAATGTGTGTGTCCTTCCAGAGTACCTGCAGGGAGAGGAGAGGGAGACACGTGAGCAATTTGTCCCCTTACCAACCAGAAAGAGGCCTGCAGTCAGCACTTTAGCTGCAGGAAAATCCATCCCAAAGTGCCTTTGAAATTCTTCAGTGGGACTCTGAAAGTGCAGATAGACCAGGAACTCTGAGTTTTGATAACAGAAGACTTCAATAAACAGGAACAGAAAAAATTACTGGACTTGGAAAATAAAAGAAAATAGGGGATTCTGATTGAGAAAGAGGAATTTTATCACATCCTCTCATTTTGGGGGGAAATAGAAATTAATTCAGACAAATGTACAGGAAAGGAAACACCATGCACACATCTGAGTGGTTTTTAAATTAAACAATATTCAAGATTGGATCTTATGCTGCATTCCATCCGATATTGTCTACTTTCAATTATGTTATCTAGGTATTTCTCTCTGTAGACCACTGATTGTAGAATCAATCACAGAGTGATATTTAAACACCTCATTAACCATATCTGCATTGATGCTCCTAACTCCATACAATCCATACCATACAGCTACACTTTCTAGTTTTGGCCTGCCCATCAACACAGCCTCTCTCTAATCCTCATTTATGTGACAGGCAAAAGGTACTTTAATAAAAATGTAATCTGTTTTGGAGACGTTAATTTCCATTTACTGGAATTACAAAAAGTTTACTGGAATTAGCAAGTATTTGACTAAGAAATGCCATGGTATCATGGAAATTACACAGTAATAACCTGTCATATAAATGTCAAATGAGAGATACAATGTAGGACGAAGATATTAGTTCTACTTCATACCTTTCATACCGTAAATATGGTTGAAAGTATGGTTATATCACTCGCGGTCCGCGCGGTCGAGTAATAATAAAAAAGTCACGCCGGTAACGTGACAGCGTGGGAGGATGTGCCCGCGGTTCATATAAAACCACAGATATAACAATGAGACAGATATTTCACCAGAAGTATAAATGTGAAGCATCCGGTAGGCGTTTCCTCTCACTACTAAATATGGTGGTGAGAGGAAGCCCAGTGGCCGCAGTGGGAGGATATGGATTTTGGCTGACATTCTGCAAATTTTCTCATCAATGAAACATTTGATCTCCATACAGTTTTCTGTTTCTAAAACTAGAATCTGTAACAAACAGAGTGCACTAAGTTTGGTAGACTTGACTTACCTAATTGTTTATAGAAATGACTTTGTTTAAGACGAGTGCACTAGGTAGTGGGCGTTTTCCTAATGAACGTCATGCATATTCAGTAAGGCACAAATGGTCCTCATCCTCTTCTTGGCAGTAGCTAGCTAGCTAGCTTGTCCCAAGTAGATATCTAGCTGGCTAGCTAATTCACTCACAAAGAACAAAAAAAAACGTACCTCGCTTAAATAGCTAGAAATCGATGTCTTTGCGAGTTTTGCCACTACTAGTACTCCGTCTGTGAATGAACTTTTTTTCACTATAAGAACACCTACTCATTCAAGGGAATGCATTTCAATTAACAGGTGTGCCTTCTTAAAAGTTCATTTGTGGAATTTATTTTCTTCTTAATGCGTTTGAGCCAATCAGTTGTGTTGTGACAAGGTGGGGGGGGGGGTATAGAGAAGATAGCCCTATTTGGTAAAAGACCAAGTCCATATTATGGCAAGAACAGCAAAAATAAGCAAAGAGAAATGACAGTCTACCATTACTTTAAGACTTGAAGGTCAGTCAATACGGAACATTACAAAAACTTTGAACGTTTCTTCAAGTGCAGTTGCAAAAACCATCATGAGCTATGATGAAACTGGCTCTCATGAGGACCACCACAGGAATGGAAGACCCAGAGTTGCCTCTGCTGCAGAGGATATGTTAATTAGAGTTACCAGCCTCAGAAATTGCAGCCCAAATAAATGTTCAAGTATCAGACACATCTGACCTTCATGGTCGAATTGCTGCAAAGAAACCACTACTAAAGGACACCAATAATAAGAAGAGACTTGCTTGGGCCAAGAAACACAAGCAATGGACATTAGACCGGTGGAAATGTCCAACTTGGAGATTTTTGGTTCCAACCTCCGTGTCTTTGTGAGATGCGGTGTGGGTGAACGGATTATCTCTGCATGTCTATTTCCCACCATAAAGCATGGAGGAAGAGGTTTTATGGTGTGGGGGTGCTTTGCTGGTGACACTGTCTGTGATTTATTTAGAATTCAAGGCACACTTAACCAGCATGACTACTACAGTATTCTAAAGCGATACGCCATCCCACCTGGTTTGGGCTTAGTGGGACTATCATTTGTTTTTCAACAGTACAATGACCCAACACACCTCCAGGTTGTGTAAGGGCTATTTTACCAAGAAGGAGAGTGATGGAGTGCTGCATCAGATGACCTGGCCTCCACAATCCCCCGACCTCAACCAAATTGAGATGGTTTGGGATGAGTCGGACCGCAGAGTGAAGGAAAAGCAGCCAACAAGTGCTCAGCATATGTGGGAACTCCTTCAAGACTGTTGGAAAAGCATTCCAGGTGAAGCTGGTTGAGAGAATATATTTTGATTTGTTTAACTCTTTTTTTGGTTACTACATGATTCCATATGTGTTATTTCATAGTTTTGATGTCTTCACTATTATTCTACAATGTAGAAAATAGTAAACATAAAGAAAAACCTTTGAATGAGTAGCTGTTCTAAAACTTTTGACCGGTAGTGTATGTCATCAATAAATACCTTGATTATTGTAAAATGTTCTCTGTGATTTTGTTTAGGGGGAGGGGAAGGCAACATAAAAAAACTCATTATGCAAAGCTAATTTCTCGCTTGATTATGAAATTGTTGAGCTGGAATCTCATGTGTTTGTTGTAAAAGATACTGATAACTACTGCAATTATTACGAAGATACAAAGATGAGGCTATGTGCAGTAATCGGCTGCAATGCTGTACAGAGGAAGGGAGGAAAATCGTTTTTCCAATTTCCAACAGACGTTGAAAGGTATGTAATAAATAATGAGAAGATGCATTTTGAGTAATTATTGCATGGTGAGACACACCTCGTTAGCTGTGTAATCAGTAGTGTGCTATATTCATGACTACCCATCTAATCAATCACCAAAGAAATGATCACTGATAGATAAAATATGCTAGCTACCAGTAATGAAACAAAACTATAACTGGATTTAACGCAACTAGTATGATGAGGCAGCATGGCGAGCTACAGTGAGGGAAGAAAATATTTGATCCCCTGCTGATTTTGTACGTTTGCCCACTGACAAAGACATGATCAGTCTATAATTTAAATGGTAGGTTTATTTGAACAGTGAGAGACAGAATAACAACAAACAAAATCCAGAAGAACGCATGTCAAAAATGTTCTAAATTGATTTGCATTTTAATGAGGGAAATAAGTATTTGACCCCTCTGCAAAACATGACTTAGTACCTGGTGGCAAAACCCTTGTTGGCAATCACAGAGGTCAGACGTTTCTTGTAGTTGGCCACGAGGTTTGCACACATCTCAGGAGGGATTTTGTCCCACTCCTCTTTGCAGATCTTCTCCAAGTCATTAAGGTTTCGAGGCTGACGTTTGGCAAATCGAAGCTTCAGCTCCCTCCACAGATTTTCTATGGGATTAAGGTCTGGAGACTGGCTAGGCCACTCCAGGACCTTAATGTGCTTCTTCTTGTGCCACTCCTTTGTTGCCTTGGCCGTGTGTTTTGGGTCATTGTCATACTGGAATACCCATCCACAACCCATTTTCAATGCCCTGGCTGAGGGAAGGAGGTTCTCACCCAAGATTTGACGGTACATGGCCCCGTCCATCGTCCCTTTGATGCGGTGAAGTTGTCCTGTCCCCTTAGCAGAAAAACACCCCCAAAGCATAATGTTTCCACCTCCATGTTTGACAGTGGGGATGGTGTTCTTGGTCATAGGCAGCATTCCTCCTCCTCCATTCACGGCGAGTTGAGTTGATGCCAAAGAGCTCGATTTTGGTCTCATCTGACCACAACACTTTCACCCAGTTCTCCTCTGAATCATTCAGATGTTCATTGGCAAACTTCAGACGGGCCTGTTTATGTGCTTACTTGAGCAGGGGGACCTTGCGGGCGATGCAGGATTTCAGTCCTTCACGGCGTAGTGTGTTACCAATTGTTTTCTTGGTGACTATGGTCCCAGCTGCCTTGAGATCATTGACAAGATCCTCCCGTGTAGTTCTGGGCTGATTCCTCACCGTTCTCATGA